AGGAAGAGGGAAGGCCTGATATATAGCCAAAAAGAAAAAAATGATAAAATAGAATAAAAATAAAAACAGATAGACGGTGACAAACAAGCAACTAAAGAAATTGGCAGGTAAAGAGAGAGAGAGAGAGAGAGAGAGAGAGAGAGAGAGAGAGAGAGAGAGAGAGAGAGAGAGAGAGAGAGAGAGAGAGAGAGAGAGAGAGAGAGAGATAAAGAGAAAAGAGAGAGAGAGAGAGAGATTGTTGTGTGATTGAGTGAGTGAGAGAGCGACAGAACAAGAGTGAGAGAGAAAGAGAGAGATGGATATAACAAGTGAGAGAGAGAGAGGGGGGGGGGGGGAGGAGAGAGATAGAATGAGAGAGAGAGGGAGAGTGAGAAAGAACAAGAGTGATAGAAAGAGAATGGGCAGAACAAGAGAGAAAAAGAGAGAGAAATGAACAAGAGTAAGAGAGAAAGAGAGAGAAAATTACAGAACAAGAGTGAGAGAGAAGAGAGAGATGGACATAACAAGTGAGAGAGAGGGAGAGAGAGAGAGAGAGAGAGAGAGAGAGAGAGAGAGAGAGAGAGAGAGAAGAGAGAGAGAGAGAGAGAGAGAGAGAGAGAGAGAGAGAGAGAGAGACAGACAGACAGAAGAAAGAGAGAGAGAGACAGAGACAGACAGAGAGAAGAAGAGAGAGAGATAAATAGACAGATAGAGAGAGAGAGAGAGCATTGCCCTCGGATGTCAGGCCTCTTCCCGACGACGGACCGACCGACCCCGCAAACAATGCTTGTAACTTTCTCGACGCACAAAATAAGTTTGCTGAGATGATATTGACATGAGGGCTTGGGTCGTTGGTTTCCACTGTCACAAGGTTCTGATTAATGGACTGGGTTAATGACACCCAACATTATATCAGAGAACATTCAACATTATTTTCCCGCGATCATCACATGCCTTCACGAAATCTTGAGAAATGTGTGATGTTTGAAATGTTTTTTTTTTCTGTTTCTTTCATTGCGCCAATTCATTCACACAAAAGTTTGCTATTTGGAATTATCAAATACAAGAAATGATCTTTTTGATGTGCAAGATGCATTGAATTCCTTTTAGGTGTAATGTTATTTCAACCCTTAAGATATTGCGTTGTCATTTTCTAGCGAGTTTTTATTAAATTCCTTCTTTAACTCCCTTTTCTCTTATTTTCTTTCTATTTTATTTCTTCATCTCATATTTCTTCTATTTGTTCTCCTTCTTCTTCTTCGTCTTTTTCTTTTTCTTTTCTGTTTCTCTATCCCCATCATTATCTTTTTCATCTTCTTCGTCATCGTCGTCTATTTCTTCATCTCCTCCTTCTACTCCTTGTTTTTCCTGTTCTACCTGTTCTTCATCCTCTTTTCCTTCTATTCTATTTCGTCTTCTTGTTTCTTCTACTTCTTTTTTACTTCCGTGATTTCCTGGTTCACCCCCCCCCCCCCCCCCCGTTTCTTCGGCCGCGTCCGTTTCCCTGAAGCACTCATCCGATTCCCTTTCTTTAAAGCCAAGTTTCCAGCTGTTCGAGCAACCGAAGCCAGACCTTATATCGCCTTTATAATGTGTCTTCAAGAACCGGCAATAAACAAGCGGGCTATTAGCATGTGGAAGTATTAGGTTCATTAAGTAAGCCACTTGTGCACTAAGAATACATTTGCAAGCCAAAACCTCTTTTTCTGAACCTCTGTACTGATGCTTTTTCTTCTTACTTTTGACAACTGGAACCTGTTACGTTTGAAACACGAGTAAATATGTCTATAAATAAAGACACTTTCAGTCGTAGAGAAATCAAACTCTTTCACTCTCATTTTCCTCTCTCATTTCAGCTGATTAACCTCATAGCTTTCCTGACTTCGCAACCTGTCTCATGGAATTTCTTAAATACTATCATTACTCTTCAAATCTTTATCCGAACGCAATCAAAAGGTTTTCCGTTTAACTTAACCTTGTCTCTTATATTGTCATGCGTCAATACCTTTCCGCTTTTGCTTAACATACTAAATCCTTTATGCTACTTGTCTACCTCATTTCCTCTTCGTTTCAGATCCCATTCGGAGTCTTATACGACTGTCTCTTGTTTATGGAGATTTATGCATGGATAACCGTGCAAGTTTCCCCGTGCACTAGCGACACAGCTCGAGGCGCTCCTTGCTCTGGTTGCCTCTTCTTCTTGCACTGCGAGTTATCTTCACCAGAATTTCTCTTCTGAACTTTGGCAGTTTTCTGTCGAGAGTAAGGCACATCATCATACTCTTGAGGAGGAGAGAGAGTGAGAGGGAGATAGAGAGAATGAGAGGGAGATGGGGAGAAAATGAGGGAGATGGAGAGAGAGAGAGTGAGAGGGAGATGGAGAGAAAGAGAAAGGGGGGGGGGAGGAGGGGGAGACAGCTACATACAGAGAGAGAGAAACAGTCAGAAAAAAAGTTGTGTTACATACTTATATGTGGTTTAACGAACATTTTGCGTCTTCAAATATCACTAATAATCTATA